GACCCCAATGATTCTGTGATTCTGTAATTAGGAATAGATTCCACATGAGGCCAAACCTTGTGTCTGTCAGGGATGTGTCCCAAAYGCTCTGCAGCTGCAGCTGGTTGTTGTGTTCCTTCAGGGCCTGGGCACAGATGACAGCACCCTGATCCGGGTGATGGTGTCCCGCTCAGAAGTWGACATGCTCTACATCAGGAGGGAATTCCTGGCCATGTATGGGAAATCGCTCCACTCCTTCATTAAGGTAAGCTTGGCAATCTTACAGCTGGGCTTTCTAAGCAGCTTAAAGGAGACAGGTCCCCCCTCAACACCTTTTGGGTATTTTAGAGGAAGTAGAATTAAGGAGACTTTACATATATGTACTGAAAACSTTCCTGAATGTTCTTGTGTTAAATTGTCAAAGAGGCTACAAACTCTACAGTGAGTTGTATATACTGGAAGGAATCYTGCCTTCGATGGACCTGCAAAATTAATGGTGTTCCTTTTTTTTTCTGCTCTCTCTAGGGAGACTGCTCAGGGGACTACAGGAAAGTTCTGCTCAGGCTCTGTGGTGGGGAGGATTAAAGGAGGCCTKTGGGACTGCCTGGSTGATGGGAAGCAGCTGATCRTAGAATCATTTAGGTTGGAAAAGATCTTTAAGATCATCAAGCCCAATCATGATAAAGATTTCTTTCTATTAAYTTTTTTCACAAATGCCTTATTAATTTTTCTAATTATTGATTTAGGTTAGTTCATGCTCTGGTTAGATAGTGGCCATTCTGGTTGACCCTTTTGGCACACTTTTATGCTTGGGAACACCCATTTGCYTACTAACTGGGCTGATAAAGCCCATCTTACACAGAACGCTGTAACCAAAGATACAAAAGTTAAATTGTTTCTTGACCAGCTGTCCCTTTGTTGGTCAGGAAAATGCATCAGCTGAAGCAAACCTGGATGCAGAGTGTGAGAGGCTGCCCAGGGAAAAGCCAACCTCATCAGTACATGGAGAGTTTAGAAYATGGGTTTGCTTCTGTTTCTTGATAAAATTAAGACACAAAGAAATCAAATATCTAAAACACAAGAACGTTTACATGTTAACTTGCCTCTGTTGGTGGGAACACTGACAGCCTGCCTGCACTGTATGTATATGTTGCCTGTAGATCTGTAAGTGGGCAAGTTGTCACTGGTGACATCAGAAAAGCCCTTTTTCTGCCTTGGTTAGAGCAGCCCTGTGCTCTTGATCTGTCTGCTTGACTATTGGACTATAAATAATTATGTTATACTGCAAACCCTGCTCTGGATRAAGTGATATTGTTGGAATGGTGCCTTTTTAGGAATGACCTGTCCCTAAAACCCCACCTCATCAGCCTGGTGCTGGGATGCCTCCCCAAAGCTCCCTGAGGTAACTCCCCAGGACACCTCCCCATGCTGGCAGCAGCCCCGTGTCACAGGACCATTAAAGGATGTCACCTGGATGTCCACATCAATATCTGGGAGGGACTTTTCACCCAGACTCTACACACCTGCCTGTTCGCTTTTTTCACTACAAAAGTGGGATTCTGCTTTGGCTTAGCAATTTATTTTTTACTGCTGATGTATAATCCTKTTCTGAAGGACCAGACTGAGCTTGGACTGTCAAAGCTCAAACACCAAGGTGGTTAGACCCCAGTTCCATCAGTCATTTTCCTCTAAAACAGGGTCCTGCTGCTTGGAATAGGAGATGCCTCTGTGGCCTTCAATAAAATAATTTTCTTTCTGTTTCTCTGGGCTGCCATTGTAGACACATTGCTGACTTTTGCCGGGCGAGGAGGCAGAGCTTTATCCAGTTCTCCTGGGGGTTCTGCTCAGCACAGGGAAATGTTCAACACAGCACAGCAGCTGCAGAGGCGCTCGGGCTGGGGGTGGATTTCAATGCCTTGGGTGAAGTTGCTGAGTTTTGAAAAATGAATAAAGAATTTGTTTCTGTACTTCCTATCCCARTGGTGTGTTCTGGGAGGGTATGCAAGGAAAGAACTTGCTTTGTCCCAAACTCTTGCTCTCCACAGGAGCTGCTTCTCTGCAGGCCCTTGGCAGGATGGGGAGCAGCTTTAGGCCTGCTTCTTATGCTGATTAGCCCACRGTTTTAGTCATTTTAGTATCTTTTTCCTTCAGTAAGGACCTTCCAACTCATGAACTGATTCTTTGTCTCTTTTTTATCTTCTGGTTTCTGGAAATTGCCTTTGTGGTCCATAAATTCTACGTTCCAGATGTCCAACCTCAAAAACACGTTTGTCTCCCAGGCTTTGCTCACTGAAGCACATGAGTTTATCAAAACTTCAGGTTTCAGTAATTTCCCAAACTGTCTTCCTATAGAAGTAGCTTATGACACCTTTGCTAGATGCTAGCTAGGAGTAATTCAAGAATAATGCACTAATTATTATAAATGTATGTATTGGTTATGATTCAACAAAACAATGAAAGGAATGAGAGGGAGGTTTCTTTACAAACAAACTATGGGGTCTGCTGGTAGATAAGGCCAGATCCTGACAGGTGAAAGGAGCAATGGGAGGAACCATAAATTCCAGAGGAATTCCACCCAAGGCAGCGCTAAATCCCTGGACTGAGAGAAAAAGAACAGAGACACAAAGAATAAAAAGAGACGTGGGGGGATGCACATTAGATGGGGTCTGTATTAGATGGGGTCTGTATTAAGCAATTCGGCGAGTCTGTACCTCTCGAGTTCCTCAGCCAATAGGGAAAGAGAGAGGGAAATGCGGACGGGAAATTAAGACAAAAAGGAGGCGGCGTCCTCTATCAATTTAAAAGACCCAATGGAAATATCCCATGGCCTCTTCCTTWAATCGAATAAACTTACAGGACTCCTCTRTCTCCTTTTTGGACATAAACCTCTGATGTTTGYGGRTTAATTTTCCTMACAACAATTACCTCAGAAGCCGATTTCAATCATTAACTGAACGCACGAAGAGGCTCCACAGCAGCGCCCGCCCCTGTCCCCTCAGGCCCGCCGCGCAGGCGCAGAGCCGCGGGGCCGTGGCCGCCGCCGGCCGGGGCTGAGGCGCCGCTGCCGCTCCGCTGCCGCTCCGGCCCCGCTCCCGCTGCAGCCTCATGAGGCGGCCGAGTGGCCATGGGCTCGCTGGGCAGCCGCGTGCTGGGGCGGAAGGCCGGGCTCCCGCGGGGCGAGGCGGCGGCCGCAGGCAAGGGAGGCAAGAGGAAGCGCGGTGGGGCCGAGGGGCCCGGAGACAGCGACAGCGACGGCGAGGCGGAGCGGGAGGAGCGGCTCCTCCACCTCCGGGGCCGCAGGTCTGGGGGCGGCTGAGGGAAGGGCGCCGGCGGCCTCCGGCTCTGAGGGGCTGCGGGGGCGGGCGGCGGCTCTGAGGAGTCGGGAGCAATCTGGAGGAGGCTGCGGGGCCGGGGTCGGGCTGAGGGGCTTGAGGGCCGGCATGGGGGACAYCTTTGGGGCGACACTCGAGAGCCCGCCCCGGCCTCCCATCGGGGCCCGGTGTGCGGGAAGGAGCGGGGGCTGGAGGGGAGAGGTGTCGGGGAGAGGCCGCTCATGGGTCCCCCGGGTCAGGGGGTGACTCTGGGACGTTCGGAAAGGCCCCAGCAGCAGCGGGGATGGGGTGCCGGCACAGGGGGACACGGCAGTCGCGCTGGGCTGGGCAGAACGAGCCCTCCCAGAGCTTGAGACCGACTGTTGCCACTGTAACGGGAGAATTTTTAGGAGTGTCTCACTGTTTGTGGTTTGTTGTTTTGTTTTTACTAGGAAAAAACTGAAAAGCACGTCGAAATATATTTATCAGACACTGTTTTTGAATGGGGAGAACAGTGATGTCAAAATTTGTGCTCTGGGAGAGGAGTGGAACTTGCACAAGATATATTTGTGTCAGGTAAGTGGCTTTTTTCTAACTTCTAGCAGGAACTGTGTTTTTCATAAAAGAATGCCTGGAAACTGTGCAGTATGACTGGAGATATTTCTTTTTACCCCCCCTTATATTTAGGACTTTCACTCTTTGTAGATGTAAACAGTTATCCAGTTCCTGTTAGCAATGTCGGGAAGCAGAGCTGTAACTTCATGTTTAGAAAGTTTCTTTGCTTCTCTCCCTGTTTAATATTTTTTATTCTATTTGTTTTATTCTTGATCTTGGTGCATCCTCTGTGAAAACAGTCCTGAAGTTTGTCTTTGATGTCTTGAGAACATTTTCTTGTTTGCTGAGCAAGTGGCTGAGAGGCTAGTGTGATGTGAATATTCTTGCAGAGCAAAGGAGGCTCTTCCWGAAGGGATTTGTAAAGCGTGTGATGCCCCAGCTCAGTTTTACTGCCCACTGAATTTCTGTGTGGGGACCTGCAGGGAAATAGCTGATGCTGGGTCCCTGTAGTTGTTACTTGATTTCATGAGTTGTCACAAAAGGATTCCTTAGTGCAGGAGGAACATTTGCTCGGGAACTCTAAAAAGGAATAAAWCTTAGTGCATACGTCCAAAAAAGATGTGATTCCTACAGACATTTTCTGTTGGGTTTGTATTCAGGTGGAGTCCTTTGTGTTTTGGGAGCACAGAGGTGCTGTTGGCTTCACTGTCTGTGGTCTGTGTCCCTCCTCCTGTGGCAGAAGTGGGGAGGAGCTGTGACTGCCATGAAATGCCCAATTCAGTTGTGCCTGTGGTTTTCCGGGGGGTCTGGCCTTGGCAGGGATTCCTGTGAAGCCATGAGGTGATGCACCAGGACAGGAGGGCACTTGTGTGCCAGCTGCAGTGGGAACCAGAGCAGGGGGTGTGACATGGTGGCACTGGGAGGTGTTCAGCACAAGGCTGCAGTTTCTCTGGTGCAACAAGTGACAGGAAAARCAAATTCTGGGGTTTTGGGGTTGTTGTTGTCTCAGTGCCAGAATTCAAGAGCAGCTTCAGCAATGACTTTCATGGCCCCAGCAAGGGAAATGTTTCATTGCTTTCTTGTAGGAAAAACCCTTTTATTTTTTGTGCTTGAGAACCTTTTAACTGAAGACAGGAGAGTCCTTTGAGCCAGAGCTGCAGCAGTGGGACTGAGGGGRCCGTGGGTGGTGTGGCAGGAGCAGAGCTGGCAGGCACAGCCCCCACTGCCACATGGGACCCTGGACCCCATGGAGGAAGCTCAGACAGGCTTGGATGAGCTCAGGCTGCTGGTGGTGCTGGTGTTTTCTGTCACTGTGGGTCTGCCATTGCTGCATCTCAAGTTTGTGAAGCTTCAGGCACCTTAGCACAGGTTGGTGACTGAAATTGAKTATGAAATCCTATCTGTAGGTGCATCTGTTTAGCAGGGTTTGAAAATTGTGATGTTGTCTGTAGAGGTCTTGTAGGAGTGGTGTTCTTGGGAGATGAGCTTTGCAGGGAGCTCACAGTTCTCAGGTAGGTTCTGTTTCAGGGCACACTGCTGCATTGGAATTATGTTACTGTTGGCAAAATAGTGTTGGAGGTTAGAAATGACTGCATRTAAATGACTCTTAATGCCGTTGTGACTCCTCCCCTATGCCCCTGAGTGGACTCTCAGCCTGGCTGTTTCTGCTCCCTTGGTCTCTCCAGGCACTGCCCTGAGTTCTGTGAAGGACAGTCACTGCTGCTTTGCCTGATCACAGCAGCTCTGAGAAATGGGGAATTTCTTTTTCCTGATGCTGTTACAAAAATGATAAATCCTTCTGAAACTGGGGAGTTGATATCTAGGGTAAAGCTGAGACAGCCTTGTGAGGAGGACCAGGATGACTGAGGTCTTGTGTTTGAGAGGAGCATATTTTGTGTTGTCAGAGCTAGGAATACGTCAAGGGTACAGAAATACTGACCAGATCAAATKAAATCAGATTTGGGTTTTGTGTTATTTGCTGCCCTGAGCTGAAATGCTGAGTGAAGAGGTCAGGGAATGTAGTGCTGTACAAATAGACTTTATTTTTTTGATCTCTCAGGTAAACTTCATTGATAGCATCTCATAATGGGCACATCTGCTGCTGGGAAGGAAAATCAGGAACCCTAGTAGAGCATTATCTTTCCCTTCATTTGGATGGAAACCTCAAATTCTAGTTTTATGTGCTTTTCACTTAAAATTAAAAGGTATATTGCCGTAAATGGTGTGTGTGTGTCTGTGTCCTTGGTATGAGACTACAGCCTTGTACAGTAATTTGTATGTCTTGCATGCCTTTTTTTCTTTTTCTCCCCTAGTCCCAAAACTGGCATTCCCTTATGCCTGCAGGATTTGTTGTTTGCCAGTAACATTAATGACTTAGTTCTTAGACTAATACTATCCCCACTGGTGATGTGGTTCATGAGAATAGAGCTTATGTGGCTTTTCTGGCCTTTTCAAATTCTTCCCTTGCTCTGATTACACACATGTAGCCCAAATTTTCCTGTAGGCATTTTAAGTGCCAGAGACAGCAACTACAACCAGCCCCTTGAGTCTGTCAGAATGTTCTGGCTTGTGAAAGTTCCCTTAATATGTTTTGTTTTGCATAAAGGTAAATATTAACCATGTTTGGTTCCATGTGCTGCTTTTGCCAGTTTTAGTTGGGATGAAATCACTTAGTTGAGTTCTTTTTCTCTCTTCTCTCTTACAGTCAGGCTACTTTTCCAGTATGTTCAGTGGCTCTTGGAAAGAATCCAGCATGAATGTCATAGAGTTGGAGATTCCTGACCAAAATATTGATGTAGAAGGTAAGTGGGAACATTTTGTTTCAACAAAACCCTGGAGGGAGAGATTAATTTAAACCTCATGATGCTCAGAGAAGGCTCATGRGGTTTAACTTC